CTTCTGGCTTGGTGCCTGCGTGTCTGACAAGATGAGCTTCCTGGCCCTGCGCAGAGACACGCAAACACCGTGCAGTGTGCACTTCGGTGGCGGTGGTAGTAGGGTGCCCAAGAGTGTCTCGATATTCAGGGCGCTTTGGGCTGTGATGTGTACTGTGTATGTGCCCAAACTGATGCTCGCCTCCTACTTTGAGCAGGGACCGACCGCCCCGGCATTCCTATAGTCCTACCACGAAATGTTCTTCGAACCCAACAATGCTCTAAGAACAAAAACAACGTTCTTAGAACATAAACCCGATGTGATAAAACAAGACAGTCCCAGCCAGAAATGTTCTAAGAACATTTCGTGGGAACCACAAGAAGTTCTTAGAACATTCTCTGGTAGGCCTATAGGCGAGCTGGGACGCTTCGCCACTACTTGACACGCGCGGAGTCTCCCTGAGGGCCCGGCCGTCGTTCGCGGCGCACCTTCCAGAGGCTGAGGCGGAGGCTGTAGAGGGCCGCGGCCGGGGCGGCCGGATCCAAGCGCCCGAGCCAATGCTGGGGCGACCCCCGTGGGCCTCAGGGAGCACTAAACTGGGTAACGCCTAAACGGGGTAACAGACCCACCTTGGGATCCAGGTGGAAAAACTGCAACGACCAGAACAAACAAATGCACTGCATTCTTCTGCAAAGCAAAAAGACTGCACTGCAAGGTGCGGGCCCGTCCCGCACCGCAGGTCACTCCGGCGAAGGGCCGTTCTCGCGCGCAGCCGGTGGGACGGAAGGGGCCCGGGTGCGAGCGGAGGGCTGCCGAGCGCCAAGAGACGGGGCGGGCCCCGCACAGGAAGGAGCAGGGCGGGCGAAGAAGATCACCAGGCGCCAAGTGCACAGGACCGATAGCCAGGAGCAGATCGCGAGGCGAGACCAGCGGATGGGACTGGCTGGCCCAGGTGCAGCTATTCCAAGAAGAGGTAAGGGCCATGTCCAGCGCGAGCACTGCTCAGGGAGTTCTCTTCCACAGGCGGCGATCTTTCAGACCCAGACAGGCGATGTCTTGATGTTGTCCATGCGCAGTCCCAAGGAGTCCCGACCCTATCCCCACACCGGGTTTTCATCCTGGGTTGACTTTTGAATGTTCCCGGGGCCCAGCGAGGACCTCCGGAGGCCGAAAATGGCCAAAAACATCCCGGCGCGACTTTTAACGACGCGAGCATGTCTGGGAGTTTTCGACACTGTCCAGGCATAAACTTGCGAAGGTCCGCGCGGATGTCTTGGGTCTGCGCCGGGGCCAGAGGCGCCACCACGGGGGCCAGCGCAGGTCCGAGAGGTCCGTGCGGAGCTCAGATGTGTGTTGTGCTGCTTTTTCCCCGTGCGTAGTTGATCCGCCGCCGTGCCTCTGGGCACGAGGTGGGCGTGTCCTCGGTTCCTTCCCCCAATCCCTGGGGCCTCCGTTCTACATGTGGCCACGCAGGGCGCGTGACCCCCCTGGGTGTTCCAGGAAGCACGACCCTTCCAGGGCCAGGAGGGCCCCAAGACGGGCCGGGAGGGCCCCAAGCAGCCTCCCAGACGGCCCACGAGGGCCCCGAGACGCCCAAAGATCGACCCAAGACGCCCAAGACGGCCTCACAACGGCCCAGGAGGTCCCCAAGACGCCCCAAGAGGCTCGAAGAGGCCTCCCAAGAAGGCCCCACGAGGCCAAAATCATTGATTGTCCTTAGGTTTTTGAAGGATCTGGGCGTTCTACCCTTTTCGGCTTTCCAATGCTCCAAGACGGCCCAAGAGGCCCCCAAGACCATCCGAAAACAGCCAAAGAGGCCTCCAAGAGGGTCCCAAGACGGCCTAAGAGCGCCCCAAGACGGTCCAAAAGGCGCACAAGAGGGCCCCAAGACGGCCCCAAAAGTGGCCCAAGAGAAACCGATAATCCTAGCCTTCCGCCCCAAGAGGCCCCAGGAGGCTCCAAGAGGCGCCCAGGAGGCCCCAAGAGGCCCCCACGGGACCCCCAAGAGGCCCCCAAGAGGCCCCCAAGAGACCCCACCCCGAGAGACCCCCGAGAGGCCCCCAAAAAAAGCCCCAAGAGGCCCCAGAACGGCCCCCAGGAGGCCTCCAAACTGCCTCCAAGAGGCCCCCGAGAGGCACCCGACGAGATCCCAACGAACACCCAAGAAGCTTCATACCCACAGCCCAGGCACCGTGGGTGGATGGGCCGAAGGCCATGAAACATTAAAAACGCTGGGGGGCGTTCTTCCCCGTTTCCAACTACTCGGTTTCCAGCCAACCCAAAAGGGGGGAACGACAGCCTGAGACAGAAAGGCAAAAAGCAACACGAAAAACAGGATCGAACCGAAGAGATTGTGCGAACTATCATCCCAATCTAGGGGGGAACTTGCCCGAGATCGGGGAGCAAGGACGTCGATCTTGAAGAAAACGCAGTATATATATATATACATATATATATATATGTGTGTGTGTGTGTGTGAATGTGTGGTTGTATGTATGTATGCATGCATGCATGCATGCATGCATGCATGCATGCATGTATGTATGTATGTATGCATGCATGTATGTGTGTGCATGTACGTATGTGTGTATGAATGTATGTGTGCATGTGTATATGTATACATGTGTATGTATGTATGTATGTATGTATGTATGTAGGTATGTAGGTATGTATGCGTTTATGTATGTATGCGTGTATGTGTGTATGTGTATGTATGCATGTATGTATGGATGGATGGATGTATGTATGTATGTGTGTATGTATGAATGTATGTATTTATATATGTGTGTATGTATGCATGTATCTATATATGTAAATGTATAGATGTGCACATATAATTACATATGTACATATATATATACATATACGTGTATACATATGCAGTTAATTACATATGTGTTATATGTGTACATATATATATATATATATCCACAAAAAATCTGGGCGCTTTGCTCCTGCGATTCGCACCCCCGCGCCGTCGTGCTCGAGCTGCTCGGCGACGTCGGCCCCCACGGCGGAGGCCATGGCGCGCACGGTGCCCAGCATCCGCTCGAGCGGCTGGACCGCGAGCTCCGTGACCACCGCGGAGAGGGCCAGGCCGCTGGCCAGCATGAGCAGCACGACGAACACGGTGGTAAAGACGGTGAGCAGCGCGCGCGTCCTGCGGGGCTTGCAGGAGGAGGCATCCTGCGTCTTCTGTTTTTTTTCCTGCCGACCTCATCTAGTTTAGTCTTCGGCGAGCAGCGGGGACGGAGGCGACGTCCCCTCAGGAGGACATGCTGGTCCTGTGCGTCCTCCATGGAGGCGTGCCGCCGACCAGCTCCTAAAAAAAACAGAGTATGGCAGGTGCCGTTTCCGGGGCGGCGTGGCCAGCAAGCGCCCGCCACGGAGCTGCTGACTACAAGAGCTCCGCTCGCGTATGCAGGTTTGCGTGGGGCCGATCCTGGTCGAGGAAGACAAGGACCCAGACGTGCGCGCGTCGCATTCCAACAAGTATGTGCTTGCCCGTTTCGACCTCCCCAGGCCCTCGCTGGGCCTCGGGGGGCGTCAAGGAACGGCCCGGGATGGAACGCCGGTCCCGAGAAAAGAGTCTGGACTTCTGGGGACCTTCGCACGGAAAAAAAAAAAGAGAGAGAGAGACATCGCACGTCTGGGAAACAGCCCAGCAGCAGTGACGGGGGCAGGGTGGAGCAGGAGAGGGGGAATGAGGAGGGGGGAGGAGGAGAGGAGGGGAGGAGAGGAGCAGGAGAGGGGAGAAGAGAGGAGGGGGGAGGAGAGGAGGGGGGAGGAGGAGGGGGGGAGGAGGTGGAGCAGGAGAGGGGAAGGGAGGAAGGGGGAGGAGAGCATGCGGCGGAGGAGGGGGCAGAGAGGCATCCAGGCCCAGAGACCGCAGACGGCAGGATAGGGAGGGGGGACGAGGACGACGACGACGACGACGACGACGACGACGACGACGACGCTAACGACGACGACGACGACGACGACGACGACGACGACGACGACGACGACGACGACGACGACGACGACGACGACGACGACGACGGCTGCGGTGAGATCGGCACGACGAGCACCGCGCGGGTGATGGCGAGCGCCGCGCTCCTCTCTGGGTCGTGCATGTTGAATCCGACCTGGAGCGACTCCTGGGAGAAGCCCAGCAGGGGGGCGGACCTTCCTGTCAGTCCCATCGTCTCCTCCTCCTCCTCCTCCTCCTCCTCCTCCTCCTCCTCCTCCTCCTCCTCCTCCTCCTCCTCCTCCTCCCTCCTCCTCCTCCCCTTCCTCCTCCTCCTCCTCCCTCCTCCTCCTCCTCTCATCATCATCATCACATCATCCTTCTCCCCCCCTCTTCTCAAATTGCCTCCACCCACCCCCTTCCTGCCTCTGCCCTCCTGTCCCTCGTCCTCCTGCTCCTCCTCCCCGCCGCCACCAATACCACCATCATCATCATCATCATCATCATCATCATCATCATCATCATCATCATCATCATCATAATCATCATCATCATCATCATCGTCATCGTCATCGTCATCGTCATCGTCATCGTCATCGTCATCATCATCATCAGCATCAGCATCATCATCATCATCATCATCATCATCATCATCATCATCATCATCATCATCATCAGCATCATCATAGTCATCATCATCATCAGCATCGTCGTCATCGTCCTCAGCAGCATCATCATCATCAGCAGCATCAGCATCATCATCATCAGCATCATCAGCATCATCATCATGATCATCATCATCATCATCAGCATCATCATCATCATCATCAGCATCATGATCATCAGCATCATCATCATCAGCGTCATCGTCAGCATTAGCATCGTAATCAACCTCATCATCGTCAGCGTCGTCATCAGCATCATCATCACCACGATCTTCAGCATCAGCATCATCAGCTGCGTGGGCATCATCATCATCATTAGCACATTCATCATCATCATCATCATCAGCAGCAGCAGCAGCATCAGCGTCATCATCAGCAGCAGAAGCAACGTCACCATCATCATCAGCAGCATGATCAGCATCACCATCATCAGCATCAGCATCATCATCATCATCATCAGCATCATCATAGTCATCATCATCGTCGTCATCGTCCTCAGCAGCATCATCATCATCAGCAGCATCAGCATCATCATCACCATCAGCATCATCAGCATCATCATGATGATCATCATCATCATCATCATCACCTGCATCATCATCAGCATCATGATCATCAGCATCATCATCATCAGCGTCATCGTCAGCATTAGCATCGTAATCAACCTCATCATCGTCAGCGTCGTCATCAGCATCATCATCACCACGATCTTCAGCATCAGCATCATCAGCTGCGTGGGCATCATCATCATCATTAGCACATTCATCATCATCATCATCATCATCATCATCATCATCATCATCATCATCATCAGCAGCAGCAGCAGCAGCAGCAGCAGCATCAGCGTCATCATCAGCAGCAGAAGCAACATCACCATCATCATCAGCAGCATGATCAGCTTCACCATCATCATCAACACACGCATTATGATCAGCATCATCAGTTGCAACCGCATCATCACCATCATCATCAGCATCATCATCATCATCATCTTCACCATCATCAGCAGCATCATCATCGTCACTATCATCATCATCACCATCATCATCATCATCATCATCATCATCATCGTCATCATCATCATCGTCATCATCATCAGCAGCAGCACCATCATCATCATCAGCATCAGCATCAGCACCAGCATCAGCATCAGCATGACCATCATCATCATTCTAATCATCATCATCATAATAATAATAATAATCATCAGCATCATCATCATCATCATCATCATCATCATCCTCTTCATCATCATCAGCATCATCATCAACGTCATCATCATCACCATCAGTATCATCGTCACCATCGTCATCACCATCGACCCTCATCCCCTATCCCTCATCCCTCATCATCGTCCACCTTATCCCCCTTGCATCACCCCGCTCATTCGATCTCATCCTCCTCATTCTCCTCCTCATTCTCCTCTTCCTCGTGCTCCTCCGTTCCCTCCTCCTGCTCAGCGTCCTCCCTATCTCTTCCCTCCTCTCCCATCCCCCATTCCCATTCTCTACCTCCCTCCCTCTCCTCATCCTCTTCCTCCTCTTCTTCACACTCCTCTTCCTCATCCTCCTCCTCTGCCTTCTGCTGGACCGCCTCCTCGATCTACTCCTCTGCGCCATCACTCTTCTCCAATTCATCATTATCGTCCTTCTCCACAACCTCCTCCTCATCATCAGCAGCATCCTTCCTGACCATCCTCCTTCCTCATTGTCCTTCTGTTCCTTATCCTCCTCCTCCTGCTCCTCCTCATCATCATCCTCATCCTCCACGTCCTCCCCAAGATGATCGTCTGAATCATCATCAGCAGCAGCAGCATCACCATCATCATCAGCATCACATCATCAGCAGCAGCAGCAGTATCACCATCACCATCATCATCATCATCATCATCATCAGCAGCATCAGCATCAGCATCATCATCAGCATCGTCATTATCATCATCAGCATCACCATCATCATCATCATCATCAGCAGCAGCAGCAGCATCTGCATCGGCATCAGCATCAGTATCAGCACCAGCTCCAGCATCAGCATTAGTATGAGCACCAGTATCATCATCATCATCATCATCATCATCATCATCATCATCATCATCATCAGCATCATCATCATCATCAGCATCATCATCAGCATCATCATCCCCATAATTACGTTTGATCCTCATGTCCTAGCAGATGTTCTGCCCATGCCTTCTCGAATGTTATCTAGCGTTTCGACTGTGACCCTACTCTGATGCTTCAGATGACTGTTGGAAGGCGGCGGGGCAAGACCCGTCGGGCAGAAACTCCTCGAACAAACGCACACACACACACACACACAAACAAATAAGCAAGCAACCACACGTACACAGGCCTTCGAGGAGGATTGTGCCTCCGTTTGGCAGCAGCCCAAGCTATCTTGCCCAAATCGCGGGCCTCCGAGACGGTACAACAAAACCGAGCTAGCCCCCAATCCAAATCGACAGATGAGACGCTCCGAAACAAGCCACGCGATCGCATCGGCTATCTTCATACCAATTTAGCCTTCGCACCATCTTAAAGTCCCACAACAGGTGCTTCGCGAAGAAGCCCAGCCCACCAGCAAGAAGCATATCATCTTCCCCGGAGGGGGGAGCGCGGAACCCGTGCAACGGCCGCATCGTGCCCTCGAGCTTATATCCGTCCGGCCTCCGCGCGCCCGAAGCAATTTCTCAAGGCGAGTACAGGGGGCGCTGTTGGGCAATGCAGTCCGCCTGAACGGTGGCATAGCAGGTCCCCGGGCGACGGTTGGGCCGCCGGGCACCTCTGACTGAGTCAAGCTGCTACTCTGCGTCGGGAGAAACGTGTGATAACTGCGTGTCACTTTCGGCGGGGCGAACCGGTCTGAGCACACGCCTTCGTCGCACGTTGCTCCAGACCAACCATAGGCAACGCAGCCTCGTGCTGCCGTGTGCCTGTGAGTGTCCAGCTGGAGATGCGTCTCCAGTGGGCGAGCCGCTTCGTCGCGGGCTGTCGCATCCGTGGAGCACGAGGCGATCTGTATCGGTGCGATGGTGTCGAAGGTGGTTCTCGTAGTCCTCCTTGCGCTCGAGCTTCTTGTGGTTGGCGCTGCGTGCTTACGCTCTGGCAGTAGGGATGCCATTCCCCACGACGTGCCGATGAAGATCCTGTGAGGGGGTGGCGCCTTTGGGGTCATCTCCTCGGCGGTCGTCAGGTCGTCGCCTCTCTCCCTCGGTCACGATAACGCGTCAAGGTTCACGACGTCAGCAAATTTCTGCCACTGCTCTGGAGATAGCGATGCCAAGTCAGTCTCCACGTCGGTCCCGCGACGATCAGGCTGCCCTGGCGGCATTGAGTCTAGCTGGCTGCGGTGCGTTGCACTTCTCGCTGCCAGGTGGTAGGTCGGCATCTCCTCCCCTGTGGTCATGGCCCACTAGGCGTGCGCTGAGGAGGAGGAGGAGGAGGAGGAGGAGGAGGAGGAGAAGGGGAGTGCGCTGCGTGTCGGGGCCGTCGGATGGAACTGGTGGTGCTGCTGCTCTGCCGGTAACTGTACGCGCTGCTAGCCGCGCTGCGTCGGGATGGCCACGACTGTCATCGTGCTGTCGGCCTCCCTGGCTGCCAACTAGCCCCCCAGCGCGCCAGAATTACTCTTCTAGCTTCGCCGCTGACGCTCTTAGGCAAGCTCTACGAGTCATTTGATTTCTCGAATCCAACCATTCGTTAGAGCTCTAGTATTTGTTCCCCCCATGTTCGATCTCATTCCCGCTCGCCATCCTAATCTCCTCATCGCTTTGCGTCGGAGCTGGTCGCGTGGCACCTTGGGTCATACCTGGCGCGGGCCCCTGCCCCAATGGCTGCATAAATGTCACGATCGATGCGCTGTCGACCAAGATCTTCGTGGGTAGCGCCTTTTCGAGCTGGTCGAGCATCTCAACATGTAACAGGCGCGATTGTGCCTGAGCGGCCGCTTGCAGGGCGCAGAAGTACTCCTGGTGGGCCTCTTCGGCGCGCTCCTAGATGGTGGCATTACATTCCCTCCACGTTGCCTCTTTCTGATTGTACATGTCGATATCGTGCCGATGGGTTTAATATGCCGGTTGCGGCGATCTCCGCTCTCTGTGGGATATAACGGAATTGGCCCTCTGCTTGAGTTGCGCGTTGTTGCGCCTGCTCCCAGTGCTCGTTCATGCCTGTAGTTGCCATGTTTGATTGTTAATCGTGTTGCTGCGCTTGTTCAGGATCTCTGCCTCGCACCTGCCTCTCGACGCCGGCGGCTCTTTGTTGGAGGGCTGCTTCCATGCGTCTTTCTCGGCCTTGCATTTCAACGCGGGCCTAGCGAAGCAAGCTGTCGGAGGTGCCCCATACGTCTGCGAAGCTCCACCGGCTCTTTGAAATGGTTGACTCTCTGTGACTACATGGTCGAGATGCGGTGCTCCGCCTCCTTCATCTTGTTGTACTGGGCGTCCCTTTTCGGCAGATGTCTTCTCTGTCAGTTGCGCATGGTGCTGCATGGTCTTGTGGCTCTGCTTGTGGCGCTCAAGCTCTCG